AGCACCAGCCAATCAAATGACAGATTTAAAAATCGTTAACAAAAATAATCACAAATTAGCGAAATATATTGCAAATGTAGCTTATATTAAATCGCCACCCGATTGCTCTCTCCTCCGCAGAGGTTTCAGTGACTACAATGAGCTTTACATGGCGCTTGCCGTATTTATCAACAAACTGACGTGTAATTATAAAGTATACTTTATAACTATACGTCAGTCGATAGTGCAATCTGATGGCGATTTAATATAAGCTACATTTGCAATATATTTCGCTAATTTGCGATTATTTTATAATTTTACTGCAGTTTTAATTTAAATTCAGCCGTATATCAACAACAACAGTATAATCTAATTAGCACCAGCCAATCAAATGACAGATTTAAAAATCGTTTGTCTAATCGGCCAATCAGCGCTCAGTCCAGATTCTGGACTGAACAACCAGGCAAAATGCCACTTTTGTGTCAGGCCGTACTTTTCTCCCCTTCGCCCATGATCAGGCGTGCCTGTGCCCTAAAAAGTACGGCCTGATACTCAGGTTATATATATACTTACTTGGAGGACAAACCCTAACATTCTAATAAAATCGGTTCGCATGCGTTTTATCATAATCTATTATACTTATAATACTAGTTGATCTCAGCAATGTTTAAATTTCTGAGAATAGGGAAATTATTGAAACTGGAAATAAAATTTTTAACTATGTTTGCAACATACTAAAGTGTAAAGTTTTGTAAGGCTTTGCAACTCATGAACTTTAATAAGCTTCGAAACCTGTTGAACTGAACTTTGCAAGTAGATAAATCTTATGATTATATTTTCCTGCTGTTGTCACGAAGCACTACTGGACTAAGATAATACCAAAACTCTTTAATTACAATACTCAACAACGATTAATCTCCACGAAATACATCTCACAATTTCACATTAACTCTACAATATCTCACTCCCATGCGGTTCTCTCTCCTCCAAAAACACATGCACTAAAAGGCGCTAAAACACATACACTAAAAGGCGCTTAAACACATACACTAAAAGGCGCTTCTCTACACT